TATATATATATATGATAAAACAAGGTTTATTTACTACAAATGTGCAAACATGTCTGTGCCAACTCTCTCCATTCAGTTGGAGGTAGCTAAAATTTGTTATTTGAGTTTTGTGCTGGAGGGATGGGGAGGGACAATCTGTCAGTTTAATTAGTGTTTACGTGTCTTCTCAGTCATGGGAATGGCATGAATCTCATAAAGATGCTCTTTGTCAGTCCTTCACCCATCTGTGAAGCTCGGTTGTGACAGAAAAAAAAAGAGTTCTGGAAAATAGATATTAGAAAGGTTTCTAGAAAAGAAAGAAAATAAGATGCAGTGCTGTGGAAAAAAATATTCCCCCCCCCCCCCTCACATATTTCAAAATGCATCATAAAGAGGAAAAAGAATAAGTCGCACCTAATTTTAAGTTGCAGGACCAGCCAAACTATGAAGAAAGTGGGATTTATAGTGTGTTAAATACAATAATTTAGTAAAACAAAAAAATCATGTAGGAGAAGTTATACTCAATAGAGTTTGAGTCATGGAACAATAATCCTTGATGGATTGTTTTTTAAATGTAAAAATCAAGTTTTTTTTGTTGTTTTTTTTTAAGGAGCCTAGTCAATTGCTGACATTTTCGATGCTGTAACATGGTGCTTAGCAGACTTTTCCACTGTGGTTGAATCGAAACAATACATCAAAGAAGAGTGAGCCAAAATATCTCCATAGTGATGTAAAAGACTCATTGCCAGTTGTCATAAATGCTTGACGGCACCTGTTGCCCTCAAGCAAGAAGCTACTAGGGGGCAATTATGTTTTCACAAAGTGCCCGGTTGGTTGGGATACATACATATATAAAAATCAAATCATCTGAAAGCTGCTTTTCAAATGTTCGCTGATTATATTTGTCAAAATTTTTTTAATGATTTGAAACATTTAGGGCTGACAAAAACAAAAAAACAAAAAAATAAATAAATAAACGCAGAAACTGATGAAATCTGTAGGGGAGCAAATCTCACAGTGCCAAACCTTTGAAATTATTTTGGACAATAGATTTGCTCCCCTATTGAAAGACGCATAATGTTGCCATGATAAGTGGGACAGTAGTTTAAGCAACAGCTCAAAGGAAAGACTGGATTTCAAACAGCTGAGCAAACAGCTGGCATTGGTATGTCAAACAAATCTGCACAAAATTTTACATTTCTCAAATTTCATCTGCTCAAACTGTTCAAAACTGAAATGTAAGAAGACGGTTTGGCAAACGATGGGGGCTTATGTGCCAAACTATTTCTGTCCTCCAAGTAGTTGCCAGGCAACAAGTGGATAGTATTGGGAGAAACGGACTGGCATATAATCCCCATATAAAAAGACAGAGTTTGTGATTTTTTTTTTTTTTTTTTTAACTCAATGGGTTTTATATAATGGCTTCAAAACCTTTTTACATATTCAGAAGGGGTCTAATTTACAGAAGAATTAAGGAACATTTGTGACAATAAAATCTGAGCAAACCAGAGATTGTGCAGCCATCATATTCACAAAGTCCTCAAAAAGGATATATTTACCTGGACCTCCAGATCCCCCAGGGCGAGAGACTACTGTGAACTCCTCTTGATTTATTGAAAGTAGACACCCCTTATTAACAAGAAAGCATTCATATACGTTTTTTTAGTCTAGCGCACCTATAATCATAAAACTGTAGTGTTTAGGGTGTTCATAGAGTGCATATAATAGATGTAAAATTAGGTGCTTAGTTTGTAGATGAGGCATAATTTAGCATAATTCGAACCATTAGATGGCAGTAAAGTACTTATATGAGCCTTGCTGTTAGGTTTGTACACACCAACAGGTATTAGTGGTTCACGTAGCAAAATGTAGGACTCTGGACGATCGATAGAGATTGTGCAAAGAGGAGAGGTCAAAGATGCCTCCCCAAATATGGAGAGTGTTTTTCTTCCATCTTTGTATCTATTATGTCTACTGCAAGAGAAGATCGGTTTTGGACTATAATTCAAAACTCTTGTTTGACACAGAAACATTTAAAATGTCCCACCTCTACTTTAATTTTATGCCTGTGGTTGAGCCTGATGCTGTTTGCACTGACAGAAGTGGGAAATGACGAGCGAAATTATGGAACTAAAAGGGGATGCAGCACACTTGTAGTGAACCAGGCTTCGGTTTTAAACAGTATTTGTCACATTAATAAAGGTATCTATCACTATACTGCCTTGTCTTTATTTGATAATAAAAAAAGAAAAATGTCTTCAAAGAAAAAAAAATCATCTGGTTTAGTATGTGACCCAGGTACAAGAGATCATTTTGGTTTCTCCTGTTTCGTAAACATAACAAAGGCCAACTATGGACCATTTCAGCTGTACCCCCCCCAACAGGTGGTGAACTTCATTGGCTCTCTTAATTAATCTGCATTTCTGCATCAGCAATGTGTGCACCATATGCCCAGACACAACAGGATGAGAAAAAACATCCTAATTACATGCTGGGGCGAAGATGTCTTGGTTGTAGCACTTCCTTTCTAACCATCGCTCCATCCATCCATCCATCCATCCATCCATCCATCCATCCATCCATCCATCCATCCATCCATCCATCCATCCATCCACATCTAACTGCTTATCATGGTTTGTACTGTTGTCTTGTTTTTATGTCTTCTCCGTAGCTAATAACGGGCCTCCTCTGGTCTGGCCCATGTCATTTGTGTGCTGTGTGTTTGTGTAACGTTTACGCCTGCTCTTCATGTCTCCATGTCTGTTTGTTTGTTTGTTTGGTAACCACGTTCATATGTCAGTTACTAAGCGACATAAGGCTCATCTGAAGAGGCTGGACCGGAGATGGACGCTGGGGGGTGTCATCAGTCGGCAGCAGAGCCGAGGTGAACTGAGATAAATTACCCGTTGTCTCCCTCCCTCTCCTCCTTCCTTCCTTTGGATTATTGTTCTCTTTCACACCATTCCATTCATTGTCTCTCCTCACATGACTCAGTTTGCTCCTCTCTCCACATGCGCATATTTGTTCTGTTCTGCATCTTGTTTTGTGTCTCGACTTAACCAATTCATCATGTAGCGCCATGCACAAAATCTAACCACTAACCCGTGCTCATGTAAAAAGAACCCGTTATTTTAAATTAACACCTTAACATGGACTAAGTATTAATGCTAGGCTCAAATTATTCTTGTATATTATAGTCGTAGGATGTGAGTCAAAACTAGCAATCTGAGTTTTGCAGAAAATCATTACCCACTCATCTGAAAGCAGTTACATAATAGACCTTGGAATGCCTTAGGCTGCATTTTAGAGCTGTATTTTACTTTTTATGAGGAAATTAAACATGTATGTAGATTTGCAATGGGTATGGACCTTAGCAAGAATAAGCAATTATCTTGCAGTGGTTCAGATATTTACCAGTACTGACTGATAAACAAAAAACCTCATTAATACATGTCCTTCGCAGTCTTTTGATTAAGAACAAAGAAGAAAGGAAAGAGAAGGCCTATGTTTAGCTCTTGGCAGTGTGAGCTCCTCTTGGGATTATAGAAAGAGATGTTGACTATGTTGATGTGTTGACTAAAAAAGAAATACTTTTTTGCAGACTCTGCAAGAATAATTTACAATGCCGTTGCAGGCATTGCATGTTGCGGTTAAGATGATGTCTGATTCAGAATTTCCCTCTACGCTTTTTCTGAGGGAAACACTGAAGCAGTGTCTCCCCATCTGTCCACATGGTGTAACACAATGTGGTTAAAGTCCTAAATGAAAAAGGAATAAAGCATATGAAATTATGAAGTGGCTATTAAATTGGTTTATATAAATAGATTTGCTAATGTTGCACAGAAAAGTACTTTTTATCTGCTGGTCCCTCTTTTAAACTTTCCCCATCTGTTTAGACAGGAACTGCTATAATAACAGGAAATAACGATATTACTCGGCCCCTTGGCCTCATGGGAATGTAGAAATGAGCGTGATGCCTTTGCTTGCTATTATGTGCAGATTGAGGAGATGATTCCTGCCACAAGGCCATAGATACTGGGATTTTGCCCCCTATGCTTTGCGTTTTCCAGTTCGGTACTCTCAGTGTAACACTAAATATAGTATTAGTGTGATAACTGTCATGATTAACATAATTTCATAGCGTTTGCTATGTCGAGTTATGATTGATGTAGTGCCTTCCTTAAGTATTCATATCCTTAGAACTTTTTAAAACATTTTTACACATCTCAACCAACTTTGTGATCACAAAGTAGGTCATAACTGTAAATCCAGTGATGCTATAGTTTTTAAAGCTTCTCATAGATACTTAAAAAGAATTGTGGCATGCATTTCTATTCAGCCACACAGTCTAAAATGATTGAGGTCTGGACTTTGACTAGGCCAGTCTAAAACATAAATGTGCATTGATCATAACCATTCCATTGCAGCCCTGTTTGGGGTCACCAGGCTGGGGGACGAACCTCCCCCTAAGTTTCAAGAGTTTTGCAGCCTCTAACACGCTTTCTTCCAGGATTCCACTATATTTGCATGACTAAAAGTGGCACCACACTTTTCAGATTTGTGGGTACAACAACATTGCAAAGTGTATGAATGTTTGAGGCATTGTAACAGATAGCAGATTGTCAGTGTAGTAAATAACTGGGCAAAAAGGTAAATTGAAATTAGTCTGTTTGCCTCCCCAAAGATGGAGAGCGTTTCATCTCCATCTTATATATATATTAACATATGTTAACATTTAACATATTAAATGTTTCTTCAGGGGATTCAGACGCTAAATCTTCCTATCATGTAGTGTTGGTTATTTCAAGGATTAGCTAATAAGAGAACCTTTTCATTCCAAATTTCTCTTCTACACGTACAGCATATATCCCCCAACATCTGGTGGGAGAACAAGAGAAGGAAACTTTTATTTGTTTTTGCACCTTTTATTTATTTTGTCAAAAAACCCAGATCTAAGCCAATTTTCCTTTTCATTCCTTCCATCGGACCACTTTTGGTTGGGTTCAGGATTAATTAGAGAACAACAGACCTTTTGAATGAAAAAAATATGTTATTCTACCACCACCACCACCACAGTGCCTCATTGCTTTTTATGGATGCTGAACATCAGACTAGTGCTCAGTGTACAGTGGTTACAGTCCTCATGCAGCGTGTTGTACCTATTAGTTGTTTTATATTGTTATTTAGATTCTTGCAAAGCAATTACCTTTAATACCTCAACGCACGCCATCTACGTAAGGCCAGAGAATTCTTTTTATCTGCTGCAATGGCAAAAACATTTTCTTAAAGGCATGAATTTATAGTGTCTTTAAAAACTTTAGAATGCAGTTTTTCTTACTGCATTCTAAAGTTATTTTGGCTTCATTAAAAAATTATAAACACTGATAATTGCCATAGAGCATTTTAACACATGAACTAAGCACATCAGTGCAACTGGCAGCTGAAACATTGCGCAAAAATTAGATCCAGTAGAAGAAAAACGGATCTCTGTGTCATTCAGTTCCAGCGTTTCATGAAAACTTTCCTTTTTTGCTTTTTCTTTCGTGGCAATTTACATTTTGTTTTCAGATTTATGACATCTGTCAGATCTTAGCTGTTTTTCTGTCATTTCCCTCTTCTAACAGAAGAGAAGTACATCACAGTGCAGCCTTACTCCAGCGAGGGCAAAGATGAAATTGCTTTTGAGAAAGGAGTCATCGTTGAGGTCATTCAGAAGAACCTTGAAGGCTGGTGGTTTATCAGGTACGCCTCTGCTCGCTTGCTGTGGACATTTTTGTCGGCCTTCATATAAAAAAAAAGCCAATTTTACGGTTGTCTCTTCTCTCGCAGATACCAAGATAAAGAGGGCTGGGCTCCAGCTTCTTACCTCAAGAAAGTGAAGGATGATTTGTCTCCCCGCAAGAAGACGGTCACAGGCCCGGTTGAGATCATTGGAAATATCATGGAGATCAGCAACCTGCTAAACAAAAAGGCTTTAAGCGAGAAGAATGTGCAGACTGATGGAGTCCCTGAGAGTCCCCAGGTTTCCAGGAAGGAGATCAGCTTGCCGATTCCCTGCACCGAATCCAGCCCAGTTAACGCTCCACAGGAGGGAAAAAGCAAAGTAGAACCTGCCTCACCGGCCGTAGCCCGGATAACCCCACATCGAGTGGAAATAGGTCAGTTGTGGTAATTGCATATTATGTTTTTCGTATGTTGAATAACTAATAGATTTGTCTCCATTTGGCTCATCGTTTATTTCTCTCTTGTGATAAATGATGTCTTTTAAATCTCTGAAAATTCTACAAATCACTTTACACATTGTAAAGTGATTTACACATTGTAAATCACTTTACAATGTGTAAAGTGATTTACAATGGATATGCGTAGATATACGCATATCCATAGATATGCGTATATCTATGGATATACGCATAGATATCCAATGCGTATATCTATGCATTGGATGCTTTTTCTTTGTTTAAGCCACACCAAGACATATAACAAGGCTGATGTACACAAAAATCTACACAAGTGCATTATCCTCCTCCCTGGTAAATGATGATGAAAATAGTAACCAAATGCCTATTTTGTCTTTAAATTCTGCTTTCACAGGTTCCCCTGTCCTCAGGCAAAAACCTCCCCCTCGAAGAGATGCAACCCTGGTAAGAATAATCCATCTACTCTATTTCTTTTCTAGTTGTTTTTTTAGCTACTGAAACACATCTCACTAGTTGGTCATCTAAATGTTTTTGCACAGTTTGTTTAGGCAAAGATTATAAACAACACCAGAAAATAGCCAAGACTTCAAAAACGAAAATCTTAGCAACTTTATTCTCTTAGTTATTCACCAAAGTGAATGTCATTTAACATTTTGTGTAAGTTGTGAAAAAATATAGAATTACAGTTTTTTTTCTTTGTTTTTACTTTCAGTTTATTTTTATTAAGCAAATAAAGCTATCCAGACCATGTTGGCTCTATGTGAAAGAATAATTGCAACCTGAATCTTATAATATCTGGGTGGACAATGCTAGGTGGCAACGGCTGACATCGGCATTTTTAAACTGCAGTCAGTCTTTTACATCCTTGTAGAGGATAATTTATCTGCTTCTCTTTTTTGCAGAACTGTTTTCACATTGGAAAAATCTTTGAGCATAAGTGGTCTGTCAAATATCCTAAACGGATTTAAGTCTGGCAAATATCACATATGGCTATGTATAGTGTCTGAAATCTTTTAACCTACTTCATGCTGTTAGATGGGTACCACAACTCATTTACAATGGAAATTGGGGTTGACAGAGTATGAAGGGATCACTTTTGTGTTGCTTTAAGAGCTTTATTATTTTATAAATGACATCATAATTTGAAAAAAACATATATATTTTTTAAATTTAGTAATGTATTTGTTA